ATTTTTTTTTTTTTTTTTTTTTTTTTTTTTTTTTTTGTTTTTAAGTTTTAGTAGGGTGCCCTAAAGACATTATTAAAAAGGTACACCATTTTTTTTATCTTTTCTTTTTTGTGTACTCGTATGAATGCATGGAGTAGGAGCAGGGGGCAAAATAAAAGATGATCGAATCGATCCCTCGGTTGTAAAAATGATTATTCAATCGCTGTATCGATTCTTCACTAGCATCGAACGTTATTGTTAAAATAGAGTTCCCTTTTTTTGGCTACCTGATATTTTATCTTTCTCTGCGCTCTACACACTCTTATTTTTTTTGTAGTTAATACATACGTATATGCATGCGTCATCGTTCGCATGCTAGTGTTTGTTTCTCCGCTTCGTTGCTCTTTGTGCTGGCTATATAAGGCATACGGGCGTGTTTCAGGGTCGGCGCGTTCCCGTCGGCCTCGTCCCCTGCGTCGTGATTAGTTCTCCTTTAGCGATTCGTCGTTCTGTGTGTTTGCCGAGCTGTGTTTGCTTTGTTGCGTTTGTTTCTGTTAGTTGTACCCCCTCGATGCACTGTGTGTCTACCTCCTCCACGCGGGCCCACCACGTAATCTCCCTCAGCCGCTTGACCGCTTAGCCGCTTAACCGCTTAACCGCTCAAGCATCTAACGGCTCACCTCGAAGATGAAGGAGAAGAAGGCGGAAGAGGTCGTCGTTGCGCCGTGCCGCAAGGAGGCGCGCCCGAATAAGAGCGAGAAGGGGGAGGAAGACATGAAGGGTACCACGAAAAGCACACTAGCCGACAGCGACGAAGATTACTCCATCATCACGCTGTGCACAAAATGTTTGTCCAAAAAAACGGAAGAAAATAAAAATAAAATTATTCTTCATAGTAAAGCGTTCAAGGATAACAAAGGAAAAGGCAGATGTAGCGTTAGCAGCAGTACGGACCCGTTGTCTCACCACCTGAACCTATCCCCCTACTTTGATAGATCCCAAATTGTACAAGAAGTGATCCTAATGGATAATAACGAACTGACAGATGTGTATGAATTGGACCGGTACAAACTCGGGAAGGGGTCCTATGGAAATGTAGTTAAAGCAGTTAATAAAAAAACCGGACAACAAAGAGCAATAAAAATTATTGAAAAGAAAAAAATTCATAACGTTGAGAGACTGAAGAGGGAAATATTAATAATGAAACAAATGGATCATCCAAATATAATAAAGCTATACGAAGTGTACGAAGATGCAGAAAAATTGTATCTAGTCCTGGAGTTGTGTAATGGGGGGGAGCTATTTGATAAAATTGTAAAGCATGGTAGCTTTTCTGAGTATGAGGCGTATAAAATTATGAGGCAAATATTCTCCGCCCTGTATTATTGTCACAGCAAAAATATTATGCACAGAGATTTAAAACCGGAAAATATTTTGTACGTGGACAATTCTGATGATTCTCAAATTCAAATTATCGACTGGGGCTTTGCTAGCAAGTGCATGAATAATCACAACTTAAAATCAGTCGTTGGAACTCCTTACTACATCGCTCCTGAGATACTAAAAGGGAAGTACGATAAAAGATGTGACATCTGGAGCAGTGGAGTAATCATGTACATTTTGCTTTGTGGCTATCCACCCTTTAATGGAAAAAATAATGATGAAATTTTGAAAAAGGTTAAAAAGGGAGACTTTGTTTTCGACTCCAATTACTGGTCGCGTGTCAGTGATGATGCAAAGGATCTGATTTGTGAATGTCTCAATTACAATTACAAAGACAGGATAGATGTAGAGGGGGTTCTAAATCACAGATGGTTCAGGAAATTTAAAACGAATAATATCGTCATCAATAAAACTTTGAACAGAGTCCTTATTGAGAAATTTAAAGAGTTCCATAAATTGTGTAAAATAAAAAAGCTAGCTGTTACTTGTGTGGCTTATCAGTTAAACGAAAAGGATATTGGGAAGCTTAAAAAAACTTTTGAAGCTTTTGATCATAACGGAGATGGCGTCTTAACAATATCGGAGATATTTCAATGTTTGAAATTGAATGACAGTGAGTTAGACACGGAACTTTATTTTCTTCTGAAGCAACTCGACACAGATGGAAATGGACTCATCGACTATACGGAGTTTTTAGCCGCTTGTCTGGACCACTCCATTTTTCAACAGGACGTCATTTGCAGGAACGCCTTTAACGTTTTCGACTTGGATGGAGATGGAGTAATTACCAAGGAGGAACTCTTCAACATCCTCTCCTTCAGTGCCGTGCAGGTCTCCTTCAGCAAGGAAATCATTGAGAACCTCATCAAGGAGGTAGACGCGAACAACGACGGGTTCATCGACTACGACGAGTTTTATAAGATGATGACTGGAGCCAAGTAGGCAACGCGCAGGGCACAAGAGACGGTCCTAATGTGGAACTAAATTGGTACCATATGATGGTGGTTAATGCTGTAATAATGTGATGACAAGAAGGGCCCTGTTCCCACACCATTTGTGACATTCCCTCCTGCGTTCATTTCGTCTCCCATTTTGTTTTGTTTTACTTTGTTTTGTTTTTACTTTGTTTTTGTTTTATTTTGTTTTTGTTTTGTTTTTGTTTATTTGTTTTGTTTTTTACTTCCCCACAACATCGAGCAGTTTTTCCCCTTTCTGACGATACAATTTGGTTAACTGTGTTTTTTTTTTTTACGCCCCTTGGACAAAATTTTAACCAGGTGTTTCTTTACGCGTGGCCGCTTCCGTCGCGACCTCCCCTCGGCGTGCGGCCATCTGCATGTCCAAAATGATAATATTTTTTTCCATCCGGTCGTAGGCATTTCTCTTAATTTCTGCCCACTGCAAATCGGACAAGACGTTTGTGCATTGCGGTTTATTCTTCCGCTTGAGAATGTTAAAGTCTTTCTTCAAATCATTTAGCTTTATTTTTACATAGTTGTATTTATTTTCTGTGAGGAGTTTATCTTCATGGGGACACATTTTCACAGGGATGGCATAAACATCAACGTCGTTTACGATTTGATAATTGGACCTTCCTTCTAGACCTTCATTAAAATATATTTTCTCTCTCATGGGAATAATGTTCATGTCATCCACGTAAGAGTATAGAGGATACTCCTGCTCACTGTGATGACCGACTTGCATTGGCTTTAACACTTCAATTTCACCAAATACCCAACTTAGTCGTCTCAAGGTGGTGCATGCGAAATGGAAATAATCAGATGGCTGTTTCATGGTCACGTAATGGAGTAATCTCTCCTCTAGTATTCTAGACCTATGTGTAATGTAACATACTCTTGCATTCGCCTCTGACAATTTCGTTTCCTTAATCATGTATCTGATCAAGTTAGTGATGTCCTTTTGTTGCTCCTCATTGTACTTATAGCATTGCTCGTAAAATTTGATCTTTGTTTGGCACAGGATGATTAGCTTGTGGAGGTAGTCAAAGATATCCCCTATTTCTACTACCTCTTTTATTGTTTTAATTTTTTGTTTATATTCATTTTCGAGTTTATAAAATCTTTCATTCATTTTTTGAATGTCTTCTTTTAAATGCTTATGGCTCACCACTAACTTTTGGTACCTTTCGTTTGTGTTAAAATTTACTAGAGTTATTTTTTCTGGCTCCGTGAAAGCCTCTTCGTAAGTCGTCATGATATCCTTCAGCCTCTTCTCCAGCAGATCTCTTTCCTCCCGAAGTTGGTTCACCAATTTGGACTTCTTCTCCGATTCTGCTGTTGCGCTTCTTAATTTGTCTTTCAGTTGTTCCATTTCTGCACGTGTGGAGTGAGGGGATATGTGTGTGTGTGTGAGTGGCACTATGTATGCCGATGGATGGGTGACTCTATATTGCGCTACCCATCTGCTGCGTCGCATGAGAATACGTGTTATACACCCCTTCGCTTAGTGTCGCTCTCTCTCTAAGGACGAGCACCCAGTCCGATCATACGTACCTTCCATTTTTATCTCCATTTCACTGTGAATGAACTCTATTTCGGTAATTTTTTTTTGCAATAGTTCGTCGGCGCTTTTTATATTCACGTCTGCTGCTATTTGCAGGCGCTTGTTCTTCATTCTGATATTTTCTATGTCTGCCTGTGGGGGGAAAGAGGGGGGAGTGTGTCCTGCGCATGTGAGTGGGGAGCAGCCTCTTCCAATGTTGCCTCCCTTCATGTTACCTTAAGGCTATTTATCCTCTCCTGTAGACCAGATATTTCAATGTCCTTATTCTTCAGCTCTATATCCTTAAGCTGCTTCATATTGTCCATGCTGAGTTTCATCTCCTCATTTTCTTCGCTTATACATTTGGCGTTGTTGTTGATGGCGCAAAAGTTTGCATTCCTCAGACACCTCGTCCATTTTTTTATCACTCCCTTATCCGTGGAATAAAAAGTGTACGTATGGCCGGCTCCGAATGGTGGCGCTTTGATGTGAATGATGTCATGGTTTTCCCCCAGCTGCAGATCCTTCGTTTCTTCAATTATCTGCGACGAAGATGTTGGGGTTCCTATGATTTTGCAAAGTAGAGGGGGCAAAAAGTGTACGCGATGGGCTTGTCCAAGTTCCCATTCTACCGCTTTACAACTGGTGAAAAAAACACTCTTCACATGATCTCAAAAATGGAGGGAAAGAACAAAAGAAGAACATTACCTTATTTTTTACGGCAACGTAATAATCCACCACCTGTACTTCAGTCCCTTCTAATAGGAAAATAATACACGGCCGGTAATCCCCCCTCACTCTGTACACATAAAAAAAATTTGACTTAACGAAGCAAAAACATTTTACCCACTTGTAATCATCAGCGTAGTTGTTCAAGAGAAGGGTCGAAGCGTGGTCCTTATTTTTTCCGGGGTCATCAGCGTGGAGGTACATAAGGGGGGAGGAAAACTCCTTTCCGTTTTGCCTCCTCTTGGACATGTACACGTACAGCTCCCCTGAGATGCTGCTTCTCACCGAATTGCTGTTTCCGAAGTGTATTAGCGAGCTGATGTCGAACATTTTGGGGAATGGTCAGGCGAGTAAAATGGACAGCTGCTTGCTAGTTTGTTTTGCGAAGCGCGCAACTGCGTGTATTTTTGCCTTCCATCGGGGCGTATCACTTACGTTATGTTGTACTGTGTTGTATTGCGCTGTGCTGTACTATGCTGCTTTTTTTTTTTTTTTTTTTTTCATTTTCCCCCAACAGTGCAGAAACTTGACGCGTCTGTCCCCTCTGATGAACAACAGTCGTCCCATTCAGCACTATGTATGTACATGTTCACGCGTGATGTAAAACTGCGTATGCCCATATATATTTTCCTCTCTCCTACGTGCACACAAATGGAAAGACAGACATGCGCGTATACCAACCGTAAGGTATGTCTTCCTCCGCGTGAAATGATAACATGTGAGCAGGCACCGGTAGGCACACAGTTCCAGTTGTCGACTTTTCCCGAAATACATATTAAAGGGAGTACACTTGGGGCAACGCGAATACTTGCGCAAAATTTTTCAGGTGCAACCAAACAGACATACGAACTTGCATACGAAAGATAATATGTATGCATGTACCTGCTCATTCAACCCACGCACTTGTGTCGAGTAAGCCATTTCCTGATCCGTTGAAAATGGAAACAGGTAACATATGAGAAAGCGGCGATGCGCTCACAGTACATGTGTGCATCCCTTTGCGGATAAACGCACAGCGTAATGTAAGAAAACTTTGAACAAATCCCCTTTCTACATGTTTCCGCCACTTACGACATGTACAATTTGCAAAAAAGAGGAGAAGAAAATGGACCCCACAGATATGTCACCTCAAAATGACTTCGTACAACCGAAAGTGTTTCCAACAACTGCATGGCAAGTTGGTCACTTAGATTTATTCACAAATGGTTTATTAAAATGGAAAATAAATTCACTCCCCCTTATGTGTAATTGTCCATTCAGTTTTCGTCATTTTTACCTGACCCGTCAGGCAATTTTGGTGCCTTTTCACTTTTTTTTTTTTTTACATAAAGGTTGGTAAGCCATGTTTATTTCAATGCGACATTTTTGGTAACAACCTTTTTACATTTGTCCTGGGCATTTTGTGGGAAAAAGGCGGATATAAGGAAAATAGGCCTTCTGAAATGAATATTTTTTTTTTCTTTTAAATTGTTACAGATTGAGAAAAAAAGGAAAACATTCTTATAAAAAAAGAACAAAATGCAGTTGAAAATTTCCCCACGCACGATATACGTACACTTTCGGAAAGTGTTTCATGCGTTTTTGTTTTCATTTTTGCGGACAACGTGCCAATAGTTTCCCCTCAAGCGAATGAACGAATTGTTAACAAAATTTAAACGAATAAAAAAGTATGAGAGGCGCGCTTACTGGGCCAGCAACAATTCGCGCACTCTTAAAATGTTTTAAAATAAATTCCCGATGTACATACATGGAAAGGGATATGCGCTGCTTCACGCGGTGACGCATATTAAAAGGGAAACTATTAGGATGCGTGTTTTATTTTTATATAGTATAAAAGATTTCAAGTTACAAATGTATTATTTGAGACAGTTTGTCCGAGTGGTTAAGGAGGTTGACTCGAAATCAACTGGGCTCTGCCCGCACAGGTTCAAATCCTGTAGCTGTCGTTTTTTAAGCGTTCCGTAAAACCGCAACAATTGGCACAAAAAAATAAAATTATTTTATAAATAAGTGCGCATTAATTTTTAAGCTACCAAGGAAATGCATCTGCGCATTCGCAATTAAAAAATATTATGCGAAAAATAAGAGAATTAATGAAAAACCCCATGAAAAGTACTTTCAGCCAGTAGTGCGCAGATAAAGGTTGATGCCTCATACAAAGGCAACGGCAATATGTTTCATATTTTACTTTGACCGTCCTTTTTGCCCTTAAATTACCCATTTTATATATGTAAGCACACCCTTACAATAGGTTTACGCCATTGAAATGCACGATTCAGTCTTATTTTTAAAATTAATAGATGCACAATTAGGGGAGGATTCCACAAGGCGAAAATGTTCCTCACCTAATTATTCTCTCATAACCCATTTTTGCAATTTTATTTTATTTTTTTTTTCCACAATATGAACAACATGAGTACCCTATGTAAGTGCATTTCCTCCTCCCAAGGAGAGTACACAGTATATTCGAAATGGGTTGCCCCCCAGGTTTTACGTTTCCTCTAAGTTGTGAACGGGACTTAGCAAAGTACCACCTCCACTGCCAAACTGGACAAAAAAAAAAAAAAATTAAATTAAAATAAAATAACGGAATGCTAACAATAGCACTTGTTACATCTTACGCATTTGCAGAGGTCCCTCATGCGGATTTGTAGAACTACTTGTATATGTGTAAGTGCATACGACTGACGTTTCATGTGTAGGGCTGCGTATGCATATATGAGTGTGCCTCCCGCGCGAACATGGGCAAACTTAAGCGTCCCCAACGCTAAGGGGGATCCCCATTTTTGGTGCAGATCTTGACTTAGCAAATAGATCATCTTGCGAAAGGTTTAATTAAAGGGGGGGATATAATCAACCACCTGTGGTTATGTTGATGAACATGTATTAAGCACATGTGTGAACATATCGGTGTACGTACATCCGCATGTACTCCGTGTGGTGTAATGTGTATACAATCTATAACAGGGCAAAGTCTGGTAAGCAGAAGGAAAAAAAAAAAAAAAAACCTTAAAAAAAGTAGCAATGTTTTTCCACAGAGAAAAATGTATTCATACGTAGGATAATCCCACTAACATAAAATTCTCAGATTTGTACATAAAACAATCTTTTTTTTTTTTTTTTCCCCTGTTATTTCAATTTGGTACCATTTTGGAGCAAATGTAAATGTGTAGATAGGTGTTTCCTTAATTTTCCACTTTTTTTTTTTTTTTTTTTTTTTTTTTTTCCACAATTTGTGTGAGCATGTGTTTTTCATGTTTTCGAATTTTTCCTTTTCGCCCGCCCTGCATTTCCCCTTCTCCACTAGTCAGTACCTCTTCAATTAGCGAGAGTGACCAAAGAACTGCCTGTTGATTCGTTTGCAATTCTTCGCCATAGCAGTTGCGCTAAGTTTTGTATAAAGACACACATGGCGGAGGGCAGTGAATAAGCTGTAAGATATTTTACGTTGAATGGGCTAACCGCTGTTCCGCCTACTGCCTTCACATGTGTGTATGCATAGGAGCCTGGCACGAATGAACGGGAGCACAAGCGTGCGTAATGTATCAATGCACATACGCACCTGTGTGTATAGACAGACACGTACACGCGCCCCTGTCCCGCCTTGTCCGCCTTTCATTCCCGCGCGCGTCCCTTTTTCTCATCCGCGTGGTCTCGCGGCGAATTGGGATAAAAAGCCATATACACATACCGCGAATATCCGTCTACATGGTATGACCTCGTACGCCCGTTTAGCTTTGCTTCATTTTGGACCTACCAATCGCAACACATTTTAAGTTCTCTTGGAGATTAAAAAACTGAGTTTTGTTCATACACTTTGACTAAATGAAAAGGCCTCCTTTTATTTTATTTTTTTTTTTTCCATCACTTTTTTTTTTTGCCCCTTTTTGTGTGTACGTACATGCATTCATATAGGCATGCACATGAGTGGGAATACCCTCCGTCTGCGCATACCCCAGTGTAGGCGCGTTTAGTACCTTTCTGACTGTCCTCCCCCATTTTGCGTGAACAATTACCTTTTGTAGGTTTGTGAACTTCTATCCAATTTGCATATATACATACAAACGGTGCTGCCTCGCAGTTCTCATTCCTATTGCCAGCTTCGTTATGCTGTGTTTGCTCCCCACCACCACCATATGGTTTTAATTAAAAATTCATAGCCGCGTGGAACAGCACCACACCCAACGTGGAAAAACATTTTTTACGTGTGTGCATGTACCTTTTTCAGTCACATCTACCCAACTGAGCGCAGCGCATGCGTTCGCGAAATGAGTATCGGGCACTAGGGACTGTCCAAATGGTGCAAAATGGAAAAAGCACTTGATTTTTAAATTCGCAACATTTTATCCAGTCAGTGTGTACTTGTGTGCATGTATTTATCTCTGCGCATGCCCAGGGGGATGCGGAATGCATGAAGGCTACACACAGCCCCATTTTGCTTGCACCAAATGGGTAAAGGACGTGTACATATCCTTCACTCACCTCGCATTTGCCAAATGTGGTTGTTCTAAGGTATACAATTTATAGCGTATTTTTTTTTTTTTTTTTTTTTTTTTTTTTTATTCTTCCCCCTCCGCTTCATTAAGACAAGGAATAGTGCCACCACCCCTTCCCCAATTTGTTATGCCTTTTTTAAATAATCCCATTTGTGAAAATACCAAGTGGGCATTTTTAACCTGAAGGGGGAGGCTAAGCACGGTGATCCCAAAGGGGGTTTATATTACTGCCGCGCCTGGATCTATATAAGGTTTACATTTTCCACGCCGCTTTTTTTGCCACCAAATTTGCAGCATCAAGTACTATTTGATTCGTTCTATAAGGACGCACATGTATACACATATGAACCTGTGCCTACATTAGCATAAGTTATGTTTGCTTTTTTTTTTTTTTTTTTTTTTTTTTTTGCACGTTCACCCTTCCTTGTGTAATCACAAGGGGGACGGAGAACATCCGTATTAACCGCATGCACAGGAGGGACACGTGGAGATGTATATATGTGGCTACACAATTTGCGAATAGGTGTATTTTGTTACCCAGCTGAAAGGGAAAACATAAAATGGGATTGTGAACCTTTTTTTTTTTTTTTTTTTCGAAGGGCGGGGGGAACCAACAGCGAGTGTGAATGAAGGAACCCGCGCAATATTTATGCAACACGTAAAAGCCTACGCTAACGTAACGTTACACGTCCTGCACAAGCGCGTGGGACGACAAAAAATGTGAAGCCACACGATGAACCCCTCGCGTGGACCCCTCAACCAAAATGATTCACAATTTCAGCCTGAGAAAAATGAATAGTGTAAAGAACCAAATGGTGCCTGCCATGTTGGAGATGCAGACGGCCCAGGTGGCCCCAGTGCACGCCACAAGCAACAACACACAAATGTGCGTAGGGAAGGAAGACATTAACAACATTTACTTGGACATCCTAAATATACATGACTCGATTGTGAATCATTTACAAACGATAACAATTCAGGTTTATAACATGGTGGAGCAGTCTATACTCTCCTCATGTAGGGAAGACTCATGTAAAGAATTACACACTGGAGGAGCCCACACACAACGTACCGGCCCTACCCCTATGGCTTGCTGCATTAATGTCACCAATGATGAAGGGAGTGACTCAGCAAGAGGGGGTGTTGTGTCTTTCTCAAATGGATCCATGCGTACCCAGGGACAGCAGCCTTGTACACATGTAGACACAACATCACACGTAAAGATAGAAACAGCGGAAGGAAATAACAGTAGTCCTTCTGAGCATGAAAATGTAGGGCACGGAAGGATGCAAAGTAATGAGGTGGACAGACTAGTGAACAGTTTGGAACAGGGCATGATGGACCCAACCCAGCACGGAAGAATTAACAACACCGTAAATACATATATGCATGGGGAATGTAACGAAAGGGAAGAAAATATTCCATCGAGTGGTAGTGCAAACGAGTTGAAGTGCTCTAATGAGCTAGCTAAAATGACATCCAATTACGATGCGCCAGTAGAGTTAATCATTAACAAAATTGAACCCAAGGGAACCAAACGTGAAATGTTCCATGAGGAGAATACGCACAAGGGTGACCAAACAAATGTAGAACAAGTGATAAAGGAAAATAAACTAAACCTGAGGAAGCACATTGTCCTGATGGAACTTTTAAAGTACGTCTTGGTGCACTCAAATAATTCACAAGCTGATTTGCATAAAGACAAAATTGTGAATTCACAAATGAGAGGTAACAATGACATGCACAAGTTAAAAAGGGATCCCGATTTTTTAAAAATGAATTTAAACTCAGGTGAGAGCATCTGCTGTGATCAGAATTTTTCAAAGGTGGACTTGTCCAGCATTAACATTAAGTACCTTAATATTATAAGCTACTACATGGACTTACTTTCCCCCTTCAATAAGTTCCACGGGGAGAAGCGGGCTGGCGACGGCAAGTGCGCGCCAACATGGGTCGATGCAGATGATGACGTGGATGGACGCGAGCAGCTCACTCTTGTGAGGAAGAAGCTGGACGACCTTGCACTCAATTATGACGACCTCGTGGAGGATATCCTACAGAATAACAACGTTAACGGTTTTACTGAAAGCTACTTGTACGCTTTGAAGGATAAAATTCTGCAGGGGGAATTTACACACGAAGTAGCAACTGGCATGCCTGGGGGAGATCCGGAAAGGCTCAGCAGGATCCTCCTGAGTGATCTTAAGAGGCAACCAAATGGGAATGAGCACAGTGGACTGTACGTCACGGATACTTCCATTGGGAGTGGTGCCGTTTTAGACAGACACACCCCATATAGCCATTTCTCGCATGCCGTCGCAAGCGGTAGTGAACGTCCCAACGAGGACTTCCTGCGTAGCGTGAACCCCTTCCCTGGTGGCAACATTCAGATGGGGGAAGTTCCAAATTGGGCCCCCTCCAATGGGAGTAAGACAAGTATGGCAACTCTAGCCCATAGACCTGGCAGAAATAACCCAATTGGCCAAAAAGCCGTCCATCACAACATCTGCGTGCCGAAGGGCTATACCTTCACGGAGGAAGGAGGGGCCCTGTACAGTGGGAGAAGGAGAAGCGGTGATGAGAATCTAAACGCTTACGACAACATGATGTGTGACAGTGCGCAGAGTTACCATCATCTCTACAATAACAACGATGGAGGAAGTACCTCTAATCATATTAGTTCAACAGACATGAATTACGCGCACGTAGTAGGGGCGGGTCTTCCAGGGGTGGGGGTAAAACATTTGGTGAAACAAATTTCGAAGGAACACACGGAGAATTCAAAGAAGCCAATTTTTGATGACACCATGATGAATTATGATCCCTACTCTGCACCCACCATGTACATACAGGAGAGTAATTTCAATCCGCAAGACAAATACAATAAAAATGCGCACGATCCTTATGGGCAATATTATAAGGGGGGGTATTATTATGCAGGGGGGAAAGAAGGCTTCATCAATTATCCAGGTAATTTTAAAAATGGCCTAAAAATGGAAGGGAAAGGAGAATACGTCATGGGCGGATCAGAAAATTTCACGTGTGCAGGTCAGAATTATTCGAATGATACGCACAGTGGCGATTTGTGGGGGTACCGCCACCATGTCGGTAGTACGCTTCATGAGCAGGGGAGGGATCATTACGATGCGAATGACCCACGCAGATTGTCACCAGGAACAAGAATCATCCCACATGGGGAACAGAATCAGGATGTCGCGTTTGCCTGTCCCCCTCAGAGGAATATAAAAAATGGAACAAAACTGAAATTCGTTGATGGGGTGGCAGGGGGGGAGGCAGATGCGAGGGGAATGAAACACCTTGAAGGGGATAAGAGTGGTGAAGACGAGGAGGACAATTCGAATACTTCACATCCGCCACATGCTCAAAGCGGAAACAGCGAGGTGCGTCATCACCACCATGGGGATTCCAGAAGGGGCGCGGAAAAGACATACTCCAAAGTGAGGAGCAACAAATGTGATAGCAGTTACTACACAAACGACAAGCACTTCTTCAGTGCTAACCCTAGCTTTGATGATTGGGCAAATGATGAAGGTGCGTATGCACACGGCTTTAATGCCAATAGTGGAAATCTTTACAGTGGAGGTGAATTTAAAAGGACGATGTTTGATGGGCAATTTTATATGCAAAACAAAGGAGGAGAGCAGATGGACAATGCTTTCCTGAACAGGGACAAGGACTCGTCGATGAGGAAAATGCCCACGAGTTCTTTTGTCGAGTTACACCACACAAATGGCAAAGATATTCTGGGTACACAATTATGTGATTACTTGTGCAGGAGCAACAGCCTCAGTACTTATAATAGGCCATCGAGTAGCTTTTCCCTTTATGCGCATCGCCTTCGGGATGGGTTGCCCAGCTGGGACCAGCAAAATCATAATAGCCGTACCAACGGAGGCACAAATTATACGTGCGGTAAAAATAGGCAAAGCAATGATGAACAGAGCAACGGAAGACACAATAACGACACGGATGGAAGAGGCAGCAATAATGGAGGGAGGTACAGGCACAGTGGCGGCGGTGGAAACAACGGAGTTAGCCGAAGCAATGAGAGCGGCAGTAATGATAACGATGGTGATGAGGACAAAAATGGGGACCGTCGACATAGGGGGAGAAAGGATTATTACGATGACAAGGAAGACGAGGAAGAGGAAAATGAAAATGACGGACGTGGCAAGGACCATTGTGCCGACCATACCAATCAACACACTTTGCAAAATGGTGGAGAAAAACGAACAAACAATCAGCGTAATAATTCTGAAAATGCTGCTCATGATCCTAATGCACATTCGCTCAGGAACGAAGGGGTGGAATCCTTTCTGCAAGATCACCAACTGATGGAGTCAAACATAGACAGAGCGAAGTATAAGGGGCATGGGAACAGTTCGGGGGCCCCAAACCGGGTCGGAGTGCAGCAGAGCACGGGCGTAGCTGGCGGGGCGAATCGAACAAGTCGGCCTAGCCAATCGGGCCTCCCTGACAGTGCCACATTGGGCAGCTCGTGTAATTTCATTCCCTTTGGCGGCCAAGTCAGCTTCCCTGACCCAGCCAACTACGGCCATTATGGGGGGTTCGAGAATTTTGCAAACAACTACGGTGGGTATACCAACTTTGGCGACCGCAGTTATGGAAGTTACTCCAACTGCGGCAATTTCTGCAGCTCGTACAGTAGGGGTAGAGATGGCAGGGGCGACAGGGTAGTAGGGAGAAGTGCCCTAACGCATAGCAGCACGGAGGCGTCAGATGAATTGAGGATTCGAACCGGTGCAGGTTGTCCTGTGGGCCCAAACGACCAGGTGCAGTTTCACAACCAGGGAAATAAGCCGATTCGCAGCCCGATGAGCAGCCCCATGAAGAACGAAATGTACGCCCCGAACAGCGCAGGGGAAAGAAACAGAAGGAACTCTAAACCGCGCATGGAGAAAATGGTCGAGAAAAACGAAAGCATGGAACATGATTTAATGAACTTCACAAACAGTGCATACGTGGACATACACAAAATAATACGAAATGATGATTTGTTGAAGAATGAGTTGTCCGGATTGGAAGAGTCTCTCAAGGTAGCCAATGCAGAGACAAAAGGTGGTAAAAAAAATACAGCCAAATATAACTCCAATGAATTAGAAATTTTAATGATGTATGACAGTTGCAAAAGCATGCTTAAGTCATGTAATATGTTACGGAGTGAAGAGTTAAAGAATACAGATGGGGATGAGTACCTGGTTAATGAGAAGTGTATCCCGGCCAACGTTTTAACAAACAGTGATATGATGAGCGACAGTTTGAATGCGGACATAGAAAAAATAATTGACATAATGAGCACAAGTAAGGTGAAAAGGATGGGGATAAAAGCACACATGAAATGCACCCAATATGAAGGAACAATAGAACGAGGTGGTTTATAATATCATCCTCTCCATTGTGTTACACACACACAAACAGTTGCGTACACTTCACTCCACTTCACGTTTTTTTTTTCCCCCCCCTTTTTGCGCGAAAGACATGCAGGTAAAAAGCAAAGACAAGAAGAGGAAGCTGAGCTCCATCAGCTGTCCCCCAAACGACCGCACATTTCCCAACGGGGAGAAGAAAGCAGAGTGTGTAGGGGACAAATGTAACTCCAAAAAAATGCCAAGAAATTCTGAAGACAAAAGGAAAAAGTACCAAAAAATGGATATAAGGACACTAAACAAAAATGTGCAGAAAAATAAAGAGGTATGTAAAAATTGCTACATCCATTATGATAATAGCAAATGCAGTTACATACTGACTTTCATAAATAGGAAGCAGAAGAAACAAAGGAAACTCTTCCCCGTCAATCCAAGCGAAAAGGATGAGGCCTACGTCATTCAAATTATGAATTATATTGAGAAACTAAAGGAACAGGAAAAAATTTTTGGAATTAGTAAAAATGACGAAATGGGGGCCCTGCAAAGGGGAGAAGCTGCTAATCTGCAAAGAAGTGAGGGAGGAAAAAGCGGCTCAGACAGACGCAATTACGACAAAGATCAACAGGGGCAGAAAAAACACATGGCCAGCGAACCATACGCAGAAGGACACGTTCCAAAGAAAAACGAAATGTGCTCAACCAACCTAAATTTGTTAAACAAAAAAATGAATAACTTTCTAAGTGGCATAAACGATCAGATGTACATGGATCCCCAAATGAATTTCATCCCAGAGCAGCACCTGCCATTTGTTCAGAACGTAGGAGGAAATCCTAATGTGAACCACGTGAATTTATATGACGATGTGAATACCCCATCTGGGGTTGATTACATGAACTTTAATTTACTCAACGATGGGAACTCATTTGAAAATCTACACCTAATGAACCCATGCACAAACAGCGTCCAAAATTTAAACCCTTTTTTTAAGATGCATTCCAAGAAGGGTGATTTCTCCACCCAGATGAATGACCAATATGTGGGGGATGTCATGGGGGAAATCGCACGAGGAGAGGTCAGCGCAGGGGGAGGAGATAGTGTTCATGGAGGGGTGGCCACAGATATAAATAACAACAGCAGCAGTTGCCGGAACATCACTTCAGGAATGAACAATCTTGAGGGCCGGCGAGGGAATAGAGGTGGCTGTCAGGTCAGTGGGGGCAGCCACAACCGTGGGAGCCCCTTCACACCCAACGTGTACGAAAATGCCATGATGCATCAGACCATGAAGAACGTCATGTACCAAGGTGATAATAACCAGGCGATAAATCACCAGAAGGCTCGAAGTAGTGGCAGCCCTACAAACCCTAACGACCAATTCAGCCCCATGAATATATTCACCAACCCAAATTTCTCCAACTACAACCAGAGTAATATGGCCAATAGTTGCGAAAGCGAAATGATACATAATTACAATTCAGTGATGAATGAGTATGGGGATAGCATGCTCGTGGACTCAACCTACGACAGCGACCGTGTCGCTGCAGGAGGGCGTACCATGCAGAACAACGAGTGACAACAGTGTGCGCACAACCGGGGTAAAAAAGAAAAATAAAAAGAGAGCAGTTAATGGATGACTCGGTCACCACGTACAGACCTTAGCTACCTCTAACATGGTTTATAAAAATGTCCTACACGTTGGCAATGTAGAATGAGACAGAGTATATCCACGCGACCAGCATCCCCATGATGCATAATCTCTCCAGCTTTGCTCAACAGGCAGAAATTTTTTTTAAAAAAAAAATACCTTGGACTTATTTGTATGTTGCAAAAAAAAAAAAAAAAAATTCGAATTAGACAACCTTTAAACTGTGTCCACTAAGTACACATTACATTTGAACATTTGATGTTTATGATTTTCCAAAGCACACATGCATTCGCACTTGCGTATGCACCTGGATTTGTACTCACGCAATATGAGAAACTGAAAAAAAAAAAACAAATGCCACCAGAGGTTTTGTTCCCACGGAACTGCTCTGTGGTGGACGAAGGGGTAGGAAGACATACCCACACAATTTGCTTACATATATGTTATCTCCCCCATTAGACACACCAAAAAGGGGAAAGCACGCGCATTTATTATTTTTTTTTTTTTCGCGCCCCGCACTAGTAGATGCCCTTATGTGTAAATACACAACACTATTTGTGCATTCCCTATTCATGTGTATTTGTGTGTGCTTGCCCCTTTTGGTAGTTATAAATTTTTTTTTCTCCATGCCGTACAAAGCTTGTTACCCACTTTTTTTTTTTTTTTTTTTTTATTTGCCATTTGAGTTGTTCCAACATCGTGTGAACTTCTTTTCCTTTTAGACAATTAGACCATTTCTTTTTATTTTTTTTATTTTTTTTTTGTATAAGAGGCCCTCTCGTTAGGTTGGATTGTGCAAACGACGGAGCCCCCCGTCTCCCACCATTTTTTACATAGCAATTTTTAAGACCCCCTACTTTTGTTTCATCACGACGGACACATGATGTCCCCTCCGAATGTCCGATAGGAATACAAAAGTATCATGTACAGGGGGGGGGAAAAGTTACAAAAGCACAGCATTGCCTTCACTCCACATGTTCATACTCCTCGTCGCTTTCGCCCAGCACATGGCATTTGTATTTCTTACTTGCCTTCCTGATTTGTACAATTGTTTTTTTCTGCTGCTCTGTAGATGGCGCTACGGTATCCGCGGCAACAGCATTAGTAGAGGTGTCCCGAAAAAATAACTTACGTAAATCTTTTATGTAATTCAAATTTTTTCTTTCTTTATTGGCCAAGTAATTATGGACGTTGCTTGCGTTAATATCATTTGCCTTCTTCAGTGCCATCTCATTCCGGTATTCATTTTCTCGTTCGTTGAGGTAATCATTGAACTCTTTAATTTTCGCGTGGTCTTTGTTCTCCGTTATTTTCATACTCACGAGATCGATGTCGATGTTTATGTCACCTGGGGAGGGGTTCGATGAGGATGTGTACGAAGTATGCACCGGTTTCAGGGTGAATAATGTAATGTGCACATCCTGCATTATTGTAATGAGAATACACATATTGGGGGAAGGGTAGTCTCCTCCCACTTAAGAGGACTCCACTCGGAGGCATTCATAATATGCCCTTCCACAAACACGCAACAGGGTGCAGAGTAACAAAAAAAAAAAAAAAAAAAAAATGTGCAACTCACCACACTTCTTCCCAAATATTTCGTAGTACTTATCTATTATTTCATTTTTTATTTCATCATCGTAATTGGAGAAATGTACATCAGGGTTGTCAAATTCCTTTTTTATATCATCCTCGAACCAATCAATGCTATCGTCTATTATTTTTGTGTGTTCTTCGTTGGCTGAATTTCTCAGCATTTTATCCCTCAGGTTGAAGGCTGCAAATGGAAAAAAAGGGGTGTGTAGTGGCAACAGGTTTAAAAGTTCACTCATTTCAGACACATAGGGGTGACAGATTAACAAAGGCGGTAAAATGAGAAGAGGTTAGGAAGTTTAGGCACACTCGCATTCCCATTCGAAAAAGCCCCTAGTGCAAAAACTGCTTTTCCTTTGACGTACCTTTTTTGAGAAAGGCATTACTAGGATCGAAGTAGTGTTTGTACAGAAAGGGGTTGGAGTTTTTCATCGTTGCAAGCATCTTCTTGTGTGAATTTTCCCCATCCTCCTCTGTCGGTGTAAACAGCTTGTTAATCAGAGACGAATCGTACAAGGGGTTTCCACAACACAGGCATTGTCTGTATTTTATTTTCGCGCAGTAAATTTTCCCACATATTAAACAGTTGGAATATATTTGATGGTTGCTCCCATTACATGTACAAATGTGAGTGTTTTTTTTTTTTTTTTTTTCTTTTTTCTGTTCCTCCTTTTCGTACTCATTCTGCTCATCACCTTTGGCTTCTTCATTTTCGATGAAATTTATAACCGTCTTTAATGAGTAGGAATTTTCTTTCATGTTGAAGAATTCGAAGTAGTTATTTTCGGCCTTCCCCTTCGAGTTCATCTTGGACTTTGTTTGGTCATCCGCTAACTGTGTGTGATCGTCTTTATGCGCATGCTCCATGCTTTGTAATTTTGTTGCAGTCCTCCCTTGTGCTTCCTTTCCTTTTGTTTCTTTCCCTTTTCCCTTTTGTGATTCTTGTTTTTGTGGGGTTACCCCATTTGGCTTATCAACATTCGGGGAGTGACCCCCCACTTTGCTGTTTTTCTCTTTATTCACTTTCTTCGGTTCTTTTCCTGTTCCTGTCTCGTTTGCGAGTCTTACTGCCGCATCGAGGGGATTCTCACCTGCACCACGGGTGGTATCATGGGTGGTAGCACGGGAGGCAGTATCGTTTGTGCTTCGCCTCGGAGGATACTTATTTTGGTCTGCTTCCATTTGTCCGACCTTTTTTACCTTCCCAGGACCCCCCCTATTGGGGAGGACCTTTCCATTTTTATCCTGACTGGGCTGTACATCTTCCCTCTTAAAAACCTCCTCGAAGTAACTGTTGATGGTTTTCCCTTTCACCACATTTTTGGGTAACCCATCACTTGCGATAGCACCATGGTTGGTAGTCTGCCCGTATGATGAGAGGCCCCCCTGTGTTGCCCCACCAACAACCGAATCGTCCTCACCAGAGGATATAAACTTCTTCTTGTCTTCTACCAAATCTAGGGTAAACTTCTTCACAGCGCTGAGGGACACCTTTTCATTTCTTCCATTTTCGTAAAACGATTCATTGAGGAGGTAAATGGATCCATACAAGTCATACGACTTACAGTTTAGGATAGACTTAATATAACTAGGATCGAGTTCTTCATTTTTCAGGTTAAAAAATTTTATTATTTTCCTCCTTATATGATTTGCGTACTTATCTTTTTCATCCATTGTTTGTGTGTGTTTGGGGGCATCATTTTTTTTTTTTTTGTTTTCGTGCAGGGCTGCATACTTTTCCCCCCTTTTTTTCTGCGGCGCGTTTCTACACGAAAGTGCCGGTTGGCTATTTACATTGGGGGGAAAGTTACAAGTATTTGTTAACAGGGGATGCTAGTTTGCTTTGTGCTTCCCAAAACCTGTCACAGAGGTGAATGGAATGGACAAAGCAAGTTTGTAAAAAAAAAAAAAAAAAGTTGCTACATTATACAAAAGGCACACGTGTCAATGTTGCAAAAGCCTGTACGCAGACGTTGGTAGTTTTAACACAGCGTGGCACGTTCCTTTCACCTTTGCTGTTGCTTCAGGCGGGATCAATACTCCCCCTTTATGGTGATGGCAACAAGGGAAAAACAAAACAGAAGTGAAAAAAAAAAAAAAAAGCAGCGAAATTATATATAACCGCACTTTTGCCCACATGGCGCAGTGTAATAATTGCATTCGCGAGGTGAACAGGGTGGCATTTTTTTTTTTTTTTTTTGCTACTATGTAAGCGAAGGGGATGAAAAAAAAGGGAACAATAGAAGACCTAAAAATGAGCTAAGGGGGACTTTACGATTAGTTGTGGATGATCTCATGGTAACCTAAAAAAGAGCCCAAGTGGGGGAGAGGCACATGCCAACAAAGGGACGGCTAACACCATAACCTGAGCGTTCCTTCGTGCTTTTATTAGGGTTGGTCGAACGCCGTGCTACAATGTCACTGTTTTTATATTTCACTATTCCGCTTTTTCGCGGCTGATTGATGATGAACTGTTCAGTCTGTCACCCGGCGCGACAACAGTACGCGAGTAGGTGAGTAAAGAAAAGAGGTGCAGACAAAATGGGCAAAACAAACAAATGGAAGAAAAAACACGAGGAAAACAAACAAGGAGGGGGAGGAATTAATAAAAAAAAACAAACAAATTTAAGCCCGTCCAACGATGAGATGATGGAACAGGTTGCAGGGGGGGAGGAATACTCCCAAAGTCACTGCTTGAGAAGAATGGAAAACCACCCATTAAAGGTCTTCTTCCTGTTGTTACCACAAACGATGTTCTTCAAATTTGTAAGAGAATTCAAAATAAAAATGCTCCGGTCACTACTCTTTTGCTCATTAAGGTAAGCAATAATGTGCCGTTCGTAGGAGCAAAGAAGATGTCTGAATTCGAGGAATGGCAAATTTACTAAATCATTGTCGCTTTGTTTCCTTGTAATAATTTTCTCCATGGAGTTAATCTTCGCAGTGAGGCTGTTTATTTTATCATTTGTATCTGCATTTGCGTAAAATATATCCTTTGCCAGAAATAGGGTTTCTGTAATTTTATCCTCCGCTAGATAATTACTGTTGAAGGAAAGCAATATGAGGACATCATTTTCTTCAAGGTTTTCATAAATATTCTCAATATTTTTACTTAATTTTTTTATAATTTCACTTGCTTCTACTCTGGTGGGTATTTGGAACAGCTCATCATTTCCATCGACTTTGAAATTTTCCTCCTTGGCATTTTTTACACAATTATAAATTTTTCGGTTACACATATTTTCGTATTCTCTTAATATGAGTAAATAATTTTTTATTTTATTTTTATTTTTAATATTCATGATTAGGTTTTCTACACACTCTTCGTCGTTTTCGCATGGACAATGGAAGCAGTTTTTTAAAAAATGCTTGGGCACTTTTTCTTCTATGTATTCGTTCTTCGCGTCATATATGCACAGGTTCTTTTCGTACTTGTATCTCACGTCTTCGTGGTATATGATGTTTCCCTTCACGTTGGTGAAGTTTTCTGGGTTGAGGAAGACAGGTAACGGCTGATATTGGTAGAAGGGTTCGGCCGTATCGAACTCGCTCATCTGCGGGGGTGGGGGTGGGGTGGAAAAAGGGTGGCAGGTGTGGGGAGTTAGAAGAGCAGGTCACGCAAATGCGCAACGATGATAAAGCACCAGCGGGACACACAAATGCACGGCGTTACCTTCTTCAGCGCGAGGAACATGCTTATCTTCGCGTCGTCAATCGAGTTGTGCCCCTTCTCCCGCTTCATGGTGATGCCCAGGTGCCGCTGGCACAGGTTAAACAAAGAGGGCTTCATAAAACAGTAAGCCGAGTGGGAGTAAACCACGGACGTGTCAATGACGTAGTCGTGGTAAATTTTCAATGCATGCAAATCATTCTCTAAGGAATGACCAATTAAAATGGATTCTTTATTAAAAATTTTTTTCAAATGCTCCTGTACATCTTCCAATTTAGTATGCACATTGTGTAGGGTGCTTTCACTTATGCCCGAGTACGGAGTTAAGTAGTCTGTGATTTGATTGTCCGGCACGACATAAGAGTCGTATACTATATTCATGTACGCATCAACTACCGTAATTTTGGTGAGCTCTCTTTTTTTATTTACCGTTTCACACATCTCGCAGTCGATGCTGTATATATTGTTTAGATCGAACTGGACGGGCGATTGGCATTTTGAGATATTCGAGCAGCTCGGGTCATCTTCTCTCCCTTCGCTGGTGCTTCCACTCTGACTTCCTTCCTCACTCAAGGGGCTGAGACCTCCATTCACCTCCCCATTTTGCAGAGATGTGTTGGAGGTGTCATCTGCATTTGCGGCCTCTCCTCCGTTTACACTTTCGTCCTTCCCGTCTGCTTCATTTTCCTTTTCTTCTTCTTCTTGCTCCTGCTCACCGGACTGGTTTGGCGACTCCGTTTTTTCCTTTTCCGTTGGATCATTTTCTGTGGTAGGCTGCCCCTTTCCCTGTGATGCCTTTTGGGAGGCCCTAAGGAGTTTCTCCAACACCTGGGCATACATGGTTATATGTTCCTCGGTGAAGATATTTTTCACCTCTTCCATGGTCTCCCCCGAGTCGGCAGTTTCCCCATTTGGGTCCTTCCCCTGTGATGAGGCATCAACCGGCTCTGTGACAGGTACGCTCGTCTGCTCATTATGTGTTAATGCATTGGGGGTGTCCTTTTCATCACTCCTCATACTTGTGGTGGTGTTCATGGTGGTGTTTAAATAAGAGCGCATGTCGGTTATTCCCTTATCTACCTTGACATATTCAATATTGTCGAAACCAAGATAATCTTCAGAGTCCTTTTTTGGGTACCTATTCAGGAGCATCTGCTCACTGCTTAGTAAATAATTTTCAATGTACAAGTTGTCCCCGGGTGAATTATAATTTGTTCCTTTATTTTTCATCACAGAAACACTTAGCGCTTTTAAAATTAAATTACTATAATTATTTTTAAAACAATTTTCGGTGTGAATTTTCCTAAAGTTATTGTTCTTTTGGAGTTTGGCAAAAACGCCACTGGAAGAAATGTCCCTTATGAACCAACTGGACAAATTGGGGACGATGACTACGATTAAATTATTTATGCAGTCATTATTTTTTACAATGAACAGGTCGTTTTTGTGAACACTTTTTTCAGTCCGGAGATTTATTATAAAATTGTGAATGTCTCTCAAGTATATATTTTTGTTCCCATAAAAGAGGATGTCCAATTTTTTATTTGTGTCATTTGATCTATGTGTTTTTTTAGCCCCTACTTTAGTTGCCCCCTTTTCTGTTTTTTTCCTCTTCGTGTTTTGCGTCTTATGGTCATTGTTGCTGTTGTTTAAGTTCAGGGGGACCTTCGCATGGTTCCTTCGTTTCTGCCTCATTTTACTTATTTTTTTTTTTTTTTTGGGGGGGGGGGGGGGG